CCGGACCCTGCCCTGCAGGGCTGGGATTAGAAACAGTCTAGTGAGGATGCTCATCTGTGACGCTTGCATACATGTTTGCGCATGTGCTATGGACACAGGTGCTGTGGACCTGCCGCCTGTAGTCAGCAACAGTGCAGCAGTGCGAGAAGGATGGCACAGAGCTGTTAAGCTGGGTCTGGATGCCATTTCAGAGCTTGGCCCTTAGCTCTAGAGGACTAAGGGCCTGGTGCTGTGCACAAGGCACGTGACAAACAGGCTTTCTGCTGGCTTTGTAGTGAAGGTGGTGTTTCTTCTTTGTAACTCTTAGCAGTTCTGACGGTGAGTGCTGGTGGGTTTTTTCCCACGTAGTGCAGAAATGCCATCTCCTCCTAGGCCAGTGGGCATTCATGGGCAGGCAATGACAGGGGAAATGTGAGGAGGAGGAAACCCCAGGATTTTCTAGGTCCGGGCCCCTTAGCCCATATAGCCAGATAACCCACACTTGGAAGTGGCGCCTGTTACACACTTTATTGTCGCTGTCACACCAGCAGTTACTCTGTTAGTGTGTCCTGGAGCTGCTAACTCCTTTCAGCAAAGACTTTTCAGGTGCCATGTGCGAGTGTATGTTGAGATGCCAGCTGGCTCCTCATATCACTTCTAACTCAGTGCATGTTAATTGTGTGATGCTAATCAGCTGCTCAGCCCTGGGGTGCCATTTCTGTGCCAGAAGTGGGTCGGTGGCTGCTGAGCTATGTGCTGGCCTCGCCTGCCAGTGAGTGGTGCACTGCCAAGCAACCACGGGGGGCAAGGGTGGCTTCTACCACATGGGTCTCGGGTCCTAAAAGGAAACCTATCTGCCTTCCTTTAAAAATAGCTTTAAAACCTGAAGTTTGTTTCCATGGTGACAGGCCTTTTGGAGATGTCTAGGAGGAAGGCATGACAGCTGGGGTGTGTGGCCTGTCCTGGGGCAGGGTCCTGCCGTCTGCTGGTGGGCCGGCCCCATCTTGTGTTGCTTCACTACCTGCCTTTCTGCCCTTCTCCTTCAGTCTGTGCCAGCCTGTTGGAGGAGGCAACTGGATTTTGGGACTTGTCTCCATCTGGTTCAGTGGCACCCAACATCTGCAGCAGTTTTCATCCATGTATTCACGAGTGCAGGGTTCCAGAGCACAAGAGTCTGGGGAAGCTGTCTTGTTAGGCGCATAATCTTCAAGGCAGGTTTAAGCCGTTCAGTGTCTATTTCCATCTTTGTTTTTTTCCCCCACCAAGTCTCCAGCAACCTTACTGAAAATGCTATTGAATGTTTCCTTTCAGCTGTTATGGTGGAATGAACGATCACTATGACTCCATAAGCACCTTCTTGCACACTGTTGCAGGGGAACAATTAACTACTGCCCTGAGCTGTTCTTGTTGGCCATTACCTGGCCATTACCACAATTTCTACAATTGCTAAATTGACCTATTCATGTAATTGTAGATCTTACATAAAGTTTTTTTTAAAGAAGTGCTAGAAGTGTAAAACTTGTCAAACTCATGAGCCTGGGTTTAACTTTTCCAAGAAGTCTTGTTGACCTCAAGGTGAGAGGACATTTACGTGTCCATAACATGGAAGTCCCGACACTAGTTTTCCCCAGTTATTCAGTCTTCCTACTTCACTGTATTGAGTCTATTTCCCAAGCTTTGTGCAGAAGAACTTCCCTGAATGCTCACAGCTTGTCGCTAGTGTGAGGTCTCTGAGGGTGTCAGTTGCTAAATCTCTAGTTTGTGAAAGCATTGGTAAGAGCAACTATTTTAAAGCACATGTGTTTAAGACATCTGGCATTTAGTTATTTGGTTTCCCCCCACCCCCGAGAATCTATTCTTATATTCAATTTTGCATAAACTTCTAAGACTAATGATACTAGAGAGAGATTTATAGGCCTGACCTTCTTACTTGTAGCTGGCTGACTATGGACTTCTGTTTGCCTGATCTGGTGAGTAAGGCATCTGGCCTCAGGAAAGCTCCAGCCTGTTACATAAAAGAGGAGGCTGCATCCCATGTACCAATGATCCACACGGGTTGTGCTGCTGCCTCTCTCACAGCAGGTTTCCTCTTTCTAGTTGTGAGCCCTGGGGTTTTGAGAAAAATGCAGAGTAGCTGTGGGAAAGCACACGGGGTATTTGTGAACTGGAAAATGCTTCTTGGAAGGAAATGCAGAAGCTGGGCAGGGAGGCTGAGAATAGGGCTGATGGATAAGGGAGACCTCTTGCTGTGCCTCAGGGCCTTTTGGGGCGCACATTCACTTTAACAGTTGTAAACAGTTAGAGGGAAAAGCTTTGTTTTCTATTACAGTTAGTGCATGTCTGTCTTCAGTTTTCCAGTCTCTGCAGCCTTTTGGAAAGGGAAGGCTGTGGGTCAGAGAGCCAGGAGCAAGGCAAGACCTGAGTTTCAGCTTCCTATGTGACTTGAGATGC